AGAGAGAGAGAGAGAGAGAGAGAGAGAGAGAGAGAAAGATCAGAAGATCAGAGAATAGCTTTCAGTATGCGAGTTCCAAAGCTGAAACTCATATCATCAGGCTTGGTGACATTTTTAATCTACTGAGCCTTCTAGCTGGCTGCAGTAATTTAATAGTATGAGAATTACATAAATAGCATTATTAATCATCCAATTAATTATGTATGCTTGTCATCATCTATGATAGAGTGAAATGGTCTCCATTGTGTTTCGGAATGCGATGATAGTAACAACCAGCTTGTATTCATCAGCTATGAATCAAAGAACTTACCTCCCCTTCCTCTCCCATTCTGCCTGCTTTTGCCTTAAATCACTTTTTTTCCAAGATTATTTTACGCTCTCAAAACTTTCTGAGGATGCCAAAGATCTTTTAGAGTCTGAGTTATTCCTGTCCCCATTTATGGTGTCAAAATATTTAACTGAAAAATTTTTTATAAAGTATTTGTTTTGTTATTTAAGTAATGATATTTGTGATTGCTACATGTTAGAACAAAGACCACATTTTAATTAAAACAATATTGTAGCTGTAATCCTGGGATTCTGGAATCTAAAGCAGGAGAATCATGAGTTTGAGGCCACATTGAGCTGTCTATGTAAGACGACATCATCAGTAAATGAATGAATAAATAAATAACTTTGAATTTCATTTAATGTTACTATTTTCCAAAACAAAAAAAAAAAATAGTAAGAGCAGCCCTGTTTTATGGTCTTGGCATATTAATTGCATTCTGGCAATTAAACCAACTTTGATTGAAGCTTGTACTGTGGTACAAAAATTTCATCTGGCCAAAGCACAACACAAATAAATTAATACCACCAAAAATATCCCTCCTCTTGGAACTCTAGGACAAATTACTATTCAATCTACAGGTTTTGTGTCCCTCTGGACTTTCCTTCATCCAATCTGTACAAGCTTTCAACATCAGAATTCTGAATCCTACAGTGTGGCAGGGGTTGGGGGGACAGCATGGCAGAGATCAAACCTCAAGGCAAGATAATGTCATCAGACCTACTGGGTTACTGTCCAAGAACAAAATTCAGTTTAAGCCCTATTCCTACACACAGAGCGTGTCAGTCGTTAGGTGCTACGCTCATTGCAGAATGAGATTGATGAAGCTGACAGACACAGCTGCCTCAACGAAATGTTCAACCAGTGACATGCTCAAAAGAGCAAAATAAATTAATAATGAATAAAATATACAAATGAAAACATAAGATTAAAATAAAAATAAGTAAAAAGTCAAGAAACTTTCTCAATCCTTTTGTTTCAAACCAAGTAGAATGTACGTTTAAGCGCACTAAAAAGTGTTTCATTCATAAACACAGAAGCAGCAAAATATCACTGCATTGGTCCACTACTATGAAAAATAAATGAAGACAATAGATAAAAACTTTAGTCAGCTTTTTCCTTTCCTCAGCTCCTTGTATGACTGATACCACTAGTTAGACGCATACTCTGGAAAGCCTTGTGTCTTAGCCATACCCACTAAGTGTTTCTAGAATTCCATGTGTCGTTTCATCGTTCATGTGTTCTGCTACGTGGCTAGCTGAGTAACTTGGGGAGTCTCCACTCTGGGCAGTCATGCATTTGACCATGTGACTTCCAGGGTGAAAGAAAGATTAAAAAATGTATTACCAATGTAAAAATAGAAATGGCTGTGAGTGTGTGTGTGTGTGTGTATACATTCATAGTGAGAAAATATCCATTGTCTGCATCCAAATTTAGTGCTGGTGTTTTTCAAACAGACTACAGCATCTCCCTCCAAAGAGTAATATTGTAGTCTCTCTCTTGGCAGCTGTTCATGGACCCCGGCTCGTGGGTCCAGTTTCATGGTTGATCTCTATTGCAGAAAGCATTGGCTTGACTGTGGCCTCCAAAGAGAATAGCCCAGACTTTCCAAAGGACTAAACCAGAGCAACGCCTCAGGGAAACTCAGCGTGAGCCAGCTGCCACACAGCTGCTGTTAGCCTTTCACGTTTGAGTTTGCTGTGAGTGGAGCGTTGCTCACATCTGCCACGCCCAACCTCTGGCACACACAACTTCCTCTTCCCCTGGAGCACAGACTCCAGGTCTTCCCTGCCTGCTTCCTTTAGCAGAGTATTTTTCAGAACCATAGTTAGGGTTTTTTTAGATGTGAAAAACAAATGGCATAAAACAGGCAAGACTCTAAGGTGTGTTATGCCAGTGCTGCTGGAATCCTGGGAACTCTCACTCAGAAGAATTAGAAAACCACAGTCTTACCTGCTGCTCCCCACCTCTTTCTGCCCTGTGAGACTTGAACTCACACCTTATGTTAATCCTGAGATTTGCCAGAGAAAAACCAATTCCAATTCCACCATTTTGGGCCAAATTTGAAGCAAGCTTTATTAAATATTAAATACCGACCAAAAGATGGACTTTGGTTGGGACCACTCCCTGGAACTTCCAGCTGAGTGGCCGTGAAACAAGCAAGTCTCACAGGGGTTTATGAAGAGAAACCTAGTCTACCGCAGGAGACTTTTGTCATATACCAAGAACTACAACTCCCAGCATTCCAGGAGGTTACCTGGTCCTTGAGCAAATGGAGCTTACAGGTTAATTTTGGATATTACACTTACGTTTCATCTCTAACGCATGTGCCACTGTTGACTGTCACGTCAAGCTATTTTCAGCTTAATCAATTGACAGTTGAAAACAGATTGCCAAGAGTTAACTAAAAAAATATAGCTTCTAGAGGCTGAGGAGATGGTTCAGTCAACAACAAATATGAGACGTGAGTTTGATTCCCCCAGCAACCATGTAAAAAGCCAGGCATAGTAGCTCACAGCGGTAATCCCAGCACTGAGGAAATGGAGACAAGAGTTGTCTGTCTAGCTGAATATGCAAGCTTCAGATTTAGTGAGAGGCCCTGTCTCTAATGAACTGATTAATTAATTAATTAATTAATTAATTAACTAAAGTTGGGCCAGAGACATGGTTCAGCAGGTAAAGGGGCTTGCCATGCAAGCTTGCTCTACAGTTCTATCCTTGAAGGCCACACAAAAGTCAAAGTTGTCCTCTGACCTCCGCAGACATGCCCTGGCATGCTAGCACCCACACTTGCATGCACCATCCATACACAGATGTCAACATAAAAACACAACTGTCACCTCTGAAGGGATCAGAGATGTGTTGTTCTGGAGCTACCTATAAGTGGCCATGGTCTAGAAACAGAGATTTAGCTCTGGAAACAGAGATTTAGCTCGCCTTAAAGTCTATGTCCCAAGATGAAGTTGTCATAGAAACAGAACAAAGTAACTGGCAAATCAAGGCACCTCGCGTGAACACATTGACAGAATCATTGGGTAGGCAGGTTAGAGGAGCGCAGGCGAGTTTCTGTTAAGGGCCTTGGGTACTTTCTGACATTCTCAGCCTTTCGGTTGATTGATGTAGTGGTCACCAACAGAGGAGAGCAACAACCAGTGGCTACTAAAAGAGTTAAAAATGTCCTGAGATAATTTGGCTCTGGACTTGTAACATTGCAAACCCCCAAAGGCAGGGTGGGGGGAGTGCAGCTTCTCTCAGAGAACTCTTGTTCTCACACACACACACACACACACACACACGATTATAAATAAGTGTTAAGAATTAAATAAATTGGTTAAGTTGACAGACATGGAGGACAATGTACAACATCAATCTCTAGCCTCCACATGTAGGGAGAGGAGAACTGAGGGGGGAGGGAGGCAGAGGAGGCAGGAGGAGAGGAGGGAGGGAAGCAGAGGAGGGGGTGAGGGTTGAGTTGGGGTGAAACGACTGAAGTTCCTTCCATGCATTATAGTGTTACATTATATACAAGTATAATGCAGTCAAAAAAGAAACAAGGGGGGGTGTGAACCCAGCCCCTGAGAGATGTGGGTAATACATGCCCATGAGCACTGTACTTTTTGCCTGAAGCAAAAAGGTTACGAGTTTGAGGCTATATTATGTGGAGCCCCCATTTCAGAGAGAAGAGAGAGGAGGAGTGGAGAGGGAAGAGAGAGGGGCGGAGTCCACTGCAAGGTTTTAATAGACGATGGGAGAACGTGCAAAACCTTGACTTGGAGACGATGGGCATCTGTGCATGAGCCCAGATGAGCTGGTCAAGCAGATGGATGGGGTTGGGGGTATCAGGATCTTGTTCTTCCCCCCGTATCCTGTCCTCACATGGCGTCCTTGTTCTTTCCTGTTTCTCTAGAGCAGAGCCTGCTAGGCCTCTTCCTCCCCAGAACAGTCAACCCCAAAAGAAGGAAGGACGATTCAGTGTGCTCAACCAAATCTTCGGCAAAAACAAGAAAGAGGAGAAGGAAGCCCATCAGAAGGACCAGAGCAGGGCCAGACCTAAGGAGGAGGACACCTCGGAAGTCAATGACATCATCGCCACCTTTGACAGCGTCGTGGATACCAACTGCCAAGATCAACCTGGTGACCAGGTGGACATGGTTGTCTTTAAGAAGAGGACCTCAGAGAATTCAAAGTATCTCTTGCCAGAAAAGAAATCCCTAGCCCGGAAGGGGCTCCCACCAATCAGAACACAGAGTCTCCCACCCATCACCCTGGGCAGTAACTTCCTGACAGCCTCCCATGGAGCCACCTCCCATGCTGGCCTGAGCTCTGGTCCTCAGCATACAGCCCAACGGTCTCAGAAAAGTCGAAGTGAACAGGATTTATTAAATAATAGGACTGGCTGCCAGGCGTCGCTAGATAACCCCTGGAAAGGTGACACTAGGCAGGTGTTCTCCTGCAAGGCTTGGACCGTGTCTTCTTCTGATAAGTTACTAGATCGGCTGTTCGCTGGCCAGCCTGGTCACCAGGAGCTCTCTGGGCCACCACATCTTCCTCATCTACATAATCCCTCACCAGGTAATGGCCTTCATTCTCTCTCCTTAGGGTCCCCCTCACACATGGAGTCTCTCATGTAGAGTTAAGCTAGTAACTGCCAGGTGAGTGCCTGCAGGCAAGCGCAATAAAATGGGAACCACGGACACTTTTAATTTTGTCCTAGTTAATTTTGTTAACTTCTGGGAAGTGAAAACTTTCAGCTTTTCCACCCTGAGTGTGCTGAGGTAAAAGAGTATTGCCGTTTCCTCTAAAAGGCATTCCTCTCTGGAGTTGTGTGACACGCTTATTCCCAAGACATTAACTTGCTTGTATGGTTAGTTAGTTAGTTAGTCGTGTGTTTTAAGTCGTCATTTAGACCCCACTCAAGATCTACCACACCAACCCTTTGTAGAGATAAATGGCCTTGTTTGTACCTATGTGGAAAAGCAACATATTTGCACTTTTATGGTCTGTGTCTCCCCACACACCAAAGGCTTGTGTGGCCTTTCCGTCTTTACCTCATCCACAGCTGCCAGGGCCATTCAGTTTTTGCTTATGCTTCCAGATACATTTTATATAATTGTGTACTCATCTGTATTTGTAAGCATGAAATCTCTCTCTCATCCGCCCCATCTCCCTTCTGCTGACAGTTTCCAGGAGTCTCAGCTTTTCTATGCGAGTTTGCTCTCAAACTCAAGTAAATAATAATTTTTGCAAATAAACACAAACTATGTATATATACCCTTGTAATAATTATACTAAAAAACTTGGGTTTTGGCAGAGTTTGTTGCTCACAACATCAATCCCAGCACTCAGAAGCCAGAGGTGGGTGGATCTCTGGATCAAGGCCAGCCTGATCTACATAGTGAGGTCTTGGCCAGCCTGGTCGAAATAGTGAGGCTCTTTCTCAAAAAATTAATGTAAAAAAACCTCACATTTTATATACATACAAGTATTATTCATATACATTAATATTCCCCTCATTATACATAATACATATAGTACGGAATTTATTTTGCCATTTACTTTTTGAGAGGGTTAGCATAGAACTTACTATATAGCGGAAGATAACCTTGACTCCTCTCCTGCGGTCACCCTTCAAGTGCTGGATTATAAGCTTATGCCACCTTGCCCAGCTCTTATTTTTACTTAAAAAAAATATATAAGGGATTCTGAGGCTATACAACAACTTCCCAATTCTGCTCATTTGCACAGTGCCTTGGGTTTTGTTGTTGCTGTTGTTGTTTGTTTTGTATTAATCAATTGCCAATATTTAAAACTTAACATCTTACATAAAAATATAAAGATTCTAGTTTCTCTTGAGAAATTGAAGCCAACATTTTCACATGACCATGACTGATTAGCCCTGAGAAACCAGTATACTCGTGGGTGGCACTGTTCTCAGTATTATGCAGAATTATTACTTCCTCTTTATCAATATACTTCAGGTACTTTTTATAGTAGGGTTATAGGGAGAAAAGTATATATTTATTTAACCCATATTTCTGTCTAAGTTTGAAAAAGGGAAAACTAAATTCTTTTTTTTAAGTATGGAGGGACAAGTTTCTGTTTGGATATGCCTCTTTTCTTATTATTTTTTAACTCATGTTTGTGCATATGTATGCAGACACCTTGGAGGTCAAGGGACAGTTTTGAATGCCATGCTCAGGAACACCATCCACCTGTTTGAAACAGGGTCTCTCATTGACCTGGGGTTAACCAATGAAGTTAGACCAGCTGCCATGAACACTGGGGATTCTCCTGACTCTACCTCTGTAGTGCTGGTGTCACAAGATTACAACAGCACATCCAGCAATTTTGCATGGGTTCAGAGAAAACACAGATCCTTATATTTGAAAGATACCTTACCAACTGAGCCACTCCCTGTGGTTGTTTGAGTAGGAATGGTCCCCATAGGCTCATGTGTTTGAAAGTTTGGTCACAGCACTATTAGGAGATGTGGCCTTGTTGGAGGAAGTGTGTCACTGGGGTTGGGCTTTGAGGTTTCAGATGCCCAGTGTTATTCTCTCTTCCTGCTGCCTTTGGATCCATATGTAGAAGTCTCAGCCCCTTCGCTTGCACCATGTCTGCTTGCATTCTTGCCATGACAACGATGGACTAAAGCCTGTGAAACTGGAAACCAGGCCCAACTAAATGTTTTCCTTTATAAGAGTTGCCATTGTCATGGCAACAAAATCCTAAGACACCCCTCCACCCGCAACCATCCTATTTTATACACAGCATGTTGGGTACTCCTTTGTCATTGACATAATTGATGCATGAAGCTTTTAAAGAAGAATGTGGCTTCTTCTCATGTACATAAATATATGTGTATATCTTTCAATATAGGATAATTATGGATGTGCACATGAAGGCTATTTGTTGATATCTGAGATAAACCTCAAGACTTTGCTTACCCCATAGAGCACTGACATTTTTGGCCTGTGGCATGGATGATGTTTTTATACTGTTTCTGCCAAAGAGTAGAGAGGGAACACATAGTTCTACAATCTTTGACAATTTGGTGACTGCTGAGGTTTCAATCAAGCCTTCCTTTTGGCGTTAGCTCTGGCCTGGCCAAGCTAATAATTCTTCCCTTTAAAAACTTGGAAGTCTTGTTCTTTTCCCATCTTTTTAAGTGAGGTTTGGACTCAGCTACCTTGAACAAAAAGCCAAAACAGTTACACCCTGACTCAAAAATAGGGAAAGGGCTACCTTAATTGCTGTCAAAATGACACTTTGATCTTTACCAAATTGCTGGAATCCGTGTTTACAAAAAAAAAAAAAGAAAAAGAAAATAGGTTGGTTGGCAACAGGACCAAGCAAGGAGCCAGGGACCCAAATCTCAGACCACCTCCCCCTGGCCAGGGTTTGAGAGTATTATGGGATATTGATGCTGGTGATCTAGGGGTTTGGGGAGGTGATAAGAGGTGAGATGACTAGTGTCCACATCATCCAACCTCACAACTCTTCAGAGATGAGTTCAGAATGGCATTGTAAGCATGGTCTTACTTCACAGGGTCCCTCACCAGACACTTGGCCCAACCCAAGTGAATAGTTGGTAAATTCAATAAAATCACCTCAAGCCTGTGAGAAATGCTCTAAGCAAATGTTAGTCATCATAACCAAGATGTTATCTAAGCCATGCTAGGGGAGGCTAACACACATCACTCAGCTGTGTAACCACCAAGATTGGTGGGTTTTGTTTTCATTTGTTTTTGAGTCCCAGTCTTTTCCTGTATCCCTGGGATTTCCTATTTAGACTGTGTATTCCTTGAACTCATGGCAATCCTCCTGCCTCAGCCTCTCAAGTCCTAGAATTTTATATACGAGCCACCATGCCCCAATGCAAAACTGATGCTTTTTAAGGCCAATTAGAAGCAAATAAATAGTTGGGGTAATGACACATGTTATTACCACCGGAGGGGGCAGGGTCAAAGCAGGAGGATCAGGAGTTTAGTACTAGCCTCAGCTACATAGCAAATTTAAGGCCATCTTCAGCCAGACTCTAAACAAATCAAAAAAAGGACTGGGGGTGGGTGGAATCATGCAGGCTTAATAGGAAACAAAATACAAGAGACAGGGCTAGTGTAACTCAGCAGAGGCCAGCTGTATTCACTGGTGATGATCAAGGAGGATACAGTTCTTCCAGAGTATTCGAGGCTTCAGTCTTGTTATTTTGAGGGGCTCTTGAGTTCTTAAAAGATGAAGTTTGGGCTTCGTAGATACATACATAGAATTCTAAGGCCTCGCCTCCTCTCATTGACCAAGCTCCCAGCCTTACCTCACATGCAGCAAGTCTGAAGTAGGCATTTCCCAGACTTTCGGTGAATAGGAGATCACCAGAGACACAGGTTCCTTCCAGCTGCATGTCCTTCAGCCAGGTCTCTAGCTTCCTCTCTCTGGATCACTTCACAGTCTAAGCCAATGGAGCAAGAGGAGGGAAGGGGGTGGGAGGGTGCCTCCCATCCCAGTCTCCTCCCTCTTAGAAGTCCTCTGCCATACGGCCTACACTTCTGCTTGCATCTCACTGGCCAGGACTTGGATCACACGCTCATACCACCTATCTACAAAGAGGATGAGAACTGTGGTATTTAAAACTGGGTACCGTGTTCTGCCCTCCAACTTAGATTCCTGCTTCTAAGGGAGAAGAAGGAGTAGAAATTGGGTAGGAAACTGGTAGACTCTTCCTGCCATACCATCCAAAGATGTCTACATCATTTCAATAACAGAACATTTAATGCAATTGCTTTGGGATTTGCTTAGTCCCCAGAGAAGTAATGAGTGAAGTCCTTGGGCAGCAGAACAGTGAAAAGGAGGCATGAAAGTCACCAAGGGATTCAGAAGAAATGAACAGTACCTATATCAATACTTACTAGTGCTAGTATATCAAGGAACCATTTAAGAAAATGGAGTCACAAAAGCACAAATATAAGCCCCAGAATGAGCCTTAAGGGAAGCTGATTATGCACCTGGATGACTAAGCAGCTGAATTTGGGGGCCTCTGGGATGTAAGCAAGCCCTCTGTCCCCAGCCCCAGCATAACTTTTGGGGTGGGATTTAACTTTATGGACAGGCCTGGAAAGAGGAAAGGGAAAGGGTTAAAGTAGAGATACGTCTCTAGAGTCACAGGTAGCTCCAAGCACCCACTCCCTTGAATCCCATCTCACCTCCCTAGTTTCTGTCACGTCTTGATGTGACATGTCTGATAAAAGCCCCGTCAATGCACATCGCTTCATGGTTTGGGGGGGTATTCATTCGCTTTTTGTTTTTGTAAGGCAAGGTCTCGTTCTGCAGTTCAGGCCTTAAATTCACAGCAATTCCCCTGCCTTAGCCTCCCAAATGTTGGGAATATAGGAATGGCACCATATCTGCCCTTCTCCAGTCCCTGTGCTTAGCACTACAATGTAAAGACAGGCTGCTGATGACAATTATTTTAAAAATAACGAAGTTTAAGCCAGGTGTGGTGGCATGCCTGGAGTATAGTCACAGCTACTCAGGAAGCTGAGGCTTCATAGTAATATAGCATAGATCACATGGTGAGTCCTGGGAAGGGAGAGGAAAGGAGGGAGGGGGAGGAAGGGAGGAAGGGAGGGAGGAAGGAAGTGATGGAAGGAGAGAAGAAGGGAAGGAGAAAGGGAAGGAAGAAGGAAAAGAAAGGGAGTGAGGGAAGAAAGGAAAGGAAGTGAGGGAGGAAGGAAAGAAGGAAGGAAGGAAGGAAGGAAGGAAGGAAGGAAGGAAGGAAGGAAGGAAGGAAACTAGGTCTGATAGTTTATGCCTATAATCCCAACACTTAGGAGGAGGCATGAGGATGGAGAGTTCAAGATCATCTTTGTCTACATAGCATGCCAGAGGTTGGCCTGGGCTAAGAGAGAAGCTGCCTCAGTATCCACTAACCCTCCACAAAGAAGAGAAGAAAGGAAAGGGTCGGAGCAGTGTGTCCGGTGCAAGTCTTCCTCCTGTTCTTCTCCGTTTCCAAGGGCTGTGTTTTTAGGCACCTTGCCTGCTGACTTCAAGGTAGCCTCACCCAGTAGGCAGCACTGAGAGAAGATGAGGAGGAGAGAAAGAGAACTCAGTGGGTCTCCATGGCAACTCTGCCTCCTTCAACTCCCTCCATAGTCATGGTTCAGCGCTGGGGCTCTTGCTCGGTTTCTGGGTTGTGGTAGCATCATCTCCTCCTGTTACTCCTTCAGCCATGGCTAGAACAGAATCCTCAATCTAGGGCTTGTGTTTGGTTTCCCAGCTTTTCTATCATGAGCTTAACAAACGTATATGAAGTTCCTTCTGTTTGAAAGACCTGGAGAGCTGTATCAGAGGAGCTCTGATTAACAATGCAAGAAATGTGTGTTCTGTATTACAGTGTCAGGAGACCATCAAAACATAGGGGTTGTGACATGTCTGTCTCATAAGGACCTCTCTGACCATAATTCACATTGCCTAGAAAAACATTAAATAGTTTGCTCAAAGATATTCCAGGCCATTGGCGATGTATTTAGAACTTGAACCCAGCACTCTTACACAGGGATATGCTCTTAAGTACTGATACTAAATTTGTGGGTGTGCTTACCAATTCTCTACAAATTTTCTTTATCAATTATGTGGTCCCCAAAGTAACAGATTTCCCTAGCTTCTGAACTTTACTTTTGTGGATATTTTAATACCACTGGATATATTGTTCTTAGAACTCCTGAGTCTTTTGCCTTAAACTCAAAATGGAATGGGCCAGTGAGCTGGCTCAGAAGGTACAAGAGCTTGCCTCCAAGACTGGTGACTTGAGTCCAGTCCCTGAAACTCACAAGACAGAAGGAGAGAATCCACTCCCACAGCCTGTCCCCTGAACTCCACACACATGCTCCGGCCCAAGTATACATACACATATAAAAACACACATGCATACATACATACATACATACATACACACAGAGATACATTTTGCTTAAAAATCAAAAGAGTTCGCTAAAGTGGCTGAAGTTGCTATTTTAGGCAGGTTGCAATTTCATGAAACTTCGAGGTTTGTATGGCAAAACTTGATGTGGTGAAGCTAGGAATTGCATAGCTCTGTACTGGTAGCTTTCACTGAATGGCTTCTTTTCTCTTTGGATATCCCTTCTCTCCTGCTTGGGTTCAACAACACTAATAGGAGCTAGTGGTGCAGCCGGGTTCCGGGCAGCTGCTGCCCTGCTTGCTCAGCAACCCCAGCGTTCAGCTGCACCGATGGATGACTGCTCAGTGTTTATTGAGACCTGTCAGGGGGCGGCATGAACGATGATGATGAGCACTTAGCCTAATGAGTTGGAATTTGGATTGCCTCAGCTTAAAGCGTTGCCAACAGCGTGCAGAGAAAATGGAACAGAACGGGCTGTGGGGTTTTCTGCTATCCTGGTTATTTACAAGCAGTCACACACACACACACACACACACACAAAAGTGAAAAGAAGAAAATTTTTAAAGCAGCTCGCTTGCTTGTTTCCCTTAAGAGACAACTTTTTTTTCTCCAGAATATTCTAGATAATTCCAGCAACAATGCACTCTTCAGGTTAGGTAGGTTAGAATCATTGACCCCTGGGTTTAAACACATTATCAGCTTTCCAGAACAAAAGCCAAATTCCTAATTTGGGTAAGCATAGCCCTCACGGAGTGAGCTAGCCTGTGTCTCACCAGGAGCAGTAGACCTTCCATCTCAAATCCCCTGCAGTGCCTTGCCTAGCTCTCAGGTCCTTGAAAACCTGCTACCTTTCCACTGTGTGATGTCTTTGCCTGTGTTATTTTGGCTTCTAACTACTATGAGTGGCAGATTCCTAAAATATTTTAAGAGCCAACTCAAGCTGGACACAGTGACACAACCCCCAAAGGCTGAGTTGGAGGCCAGCCTGGGCTAAATAGAAGACCCTTACTCAAAAAAAAAAAAAAATCAAAAAGGGCCAGGTCAAAACATGTCTTCTGTTTGAAGGTCACAGAAACACCTTTAAATAGTGGCTCCTCCTTATTGAGCACTTCTCGTCAGTTACACTGGAAGGGCAATTTTTATTCCCATTTCCCACTTTATAGATCGAGACTGTATGAGGTTAGCTCACCTGCCCAAGGTCTTGGAGCTGCTGCACTGGAAGGGGCAAACATAGAGGCGACGCCTGTAGGACTCAAGAACAATTTTTCCATAGTGCTAAAATGTCCTCCAAAACGTGATCAGACACACAAAGGAAATAATGCAAGCCCTCTTTCCACTGAGATGACCTTACATAGAATGTCACAGCACTTCCTGAGGGACATCAGGAGCCTGTGTAAACTGTTAGCCCCTGTAAGCACAGACTAGGTCTGAAATACGTGAGTTCTAAACAGGTAATTGCTGGCTTCAATATTTTATTATCTCACAAGGAGTGTGTTTCCTGAAGGTGCCTGAGACACTAATAAGAGCCTTGGGCCATGCACAGCTCCATCCTGTCCCTCAGAACAGAGCAGGAGGCCAGCACAAGGCCTTCCAGATCTCTATCTACTCTCCCATCCAAACAATGTTTCTTCAATGCCTATGGAGATCGAATGTGAGTTTTCAGGTCAGGTACAGCTAGCCTGAAGCCTAGTCCCTGTTCTTTACCAGACAGAGACCTTAAATATGTTTAGAATTCCTCTAAACCACAGGGTCCAAAAGTTATCAAGATGTGAGGAGATCTGTGAGGAGGTCATACCTACCACAGCTCGCCCAGTCCCTGACAATAGTGAGCACCTAATAAACAGCATCCACAATTAGTACTACCTAGTAATGAACTTCTCAAGTGTGACCCCATTTGGGGTTTAATATAATTCTATATAAGAATGTTTCCTCTCTAAGTAGTGGATGCTGAGGTTATTTTACTTTCAAGGTTAAAAGGGTGAAATACAAGGGCAAAATATCAACCACAGAAGCAAACCTTCGCTCAATCGTTGCCATAGGGCATTGCTTAGGTGACTGCCATGCATAGTGAGTGTTCCCTTGGAGTCACTTAGGTAGTCAGTCCTGGCTCATTCCCCTCCGCCCCCTGCCCTCTACCCCTCCCCCTTATTCTAAGAAATGCTTTGTCCAAATAGAAAGCCTGAACTTTGCTGTAGTCAGGTTCCTTACCAGACCGCTTGGCAAACGATAAGATTATTTGTGTGTGTGTGTTCATAGTAGGTTGGTTATGTTGTTGCTGTCTTGTGCTAAGGTTGACTAAGTTGCATACTTTATCCTGAAAGCTGAAAGCTGACCTTGTATTCTCTAATTCAGTCTACAGGACAACTGGAAAGGACAGATATAATAATCTTCACCGTTTTACACATAGGAAATTGGGGCTCAGAGTAGTTACGTCACTTTGAGCGTGATCACTCACCTAGCCAGAACATGATAAATCTCTATAGATCGAGGCTCTAAGTCGTCTCCTGTCTGATGTCAAAGATGGAATTCTTGTTCACCAGTCTGTTCTATTAATGTTTAAAATGGGCCTAAGTAACTTTTTAATGTACATAGATTTTAACTTTTATGTTTTCTGTGTTTGGGTGTTTTGCTTTCATGTATCCCTGTGTCTATGTGTGCCTGATGTCCAAGAAGGACAGAAGAAGAGAGTATCAATGCCCCTGGAACTGGAGTTACGGCCAGCTGTGAACCACACCATGTGGGTGCTGGGAATTGAACCTGGGTCTTCTGGAAGAGTAGCCAGTGCCCTTAACTGCTGAGCCATCTCTGCAGCACCTACCTTATTTTTCTGTGTTTGAGTGTTTGCCTGCCAGTAAGTGTATCCCATGTGTCCAATGCCCAGAGAGGTTGGACCTAGAGTTATAAAGAGTTGTGAGCAGTTATGTGGATACTTGTAATGGCTAAGTCATCTCTCCAGCCTCTCCACCCCTTTCAGAATAACTTGTATTTCCTTCTGTTTTCAGATATCTGATAAATCCATCTCTTGTGATTAGTGATGTGCTGAATTTTTAACAACCAGCCTTCAAAAATCAGTGATTGTTTATTTCTGTGGTAGAAATATTGCTACTCAATGGCCACAGACAAAGCACCAGGGTATCTGTAAAATTTCAAAAAGCCCCAACAATGTAACCATCTTCTCTGAAGAGTAGGTCCACATGCACACATATTCCAGCGCACTAAAGCTCACCATTAGAGAAGCCATTTCTTGGCCAGGTATCGTGGCATATGCCTTTAATCCTAGCATCTGGGAGGCAGGAGCAAGTGGATCTCTGTGAGGTCAGCCTGACCTACATAGTGAGTTCCAGGGCAGCCAGGGCGACAACATAAGAGACTCTGTCTCAAAAAAAAAAAAAGATAAGTTATTTCCCATGTGTATCTCTCCGAGCCTTTGTAGGTCAGCCATTTTTAATCCTGACTACACATTTAAATCACTTGTGAGCTGGTGAAAATCTGATGCTCCGTCTGCAAAAATTATGGTTTAATCCAGTTGGGGTGTGGCCAAGACATTGATAACTTCACCACAGCTCATCTCCTGGTCTGGGCAGCGGGGATTGAGAAACTCTCTCCCAGGAAAAAGACAGCCCAGCCTACACTCACACTCAGCAGAGATGTCAAGATAAGAGATGACAGCCGGAATCCATGTGACTGGGTTTTACCATCTTCAAAGTTTAGAAATTTAGCCCTCAGACGTGACTAACTGTGCTTGTTTATGATATTTTATTTAAATTAGTTCAATTGAAAAATGACTTCCGGATATGGCCAGACAGCTCAGTTGGGTAAGGGTGCTGACTGCTCAGTGGGTAAAGGTGCTGACTGCTCAATGGGTAAGGGTGCTGATGACTCAGTGGGTAAGTGTGCTTTGTTATCTAGTCTTCTAGCCTGAGTGCTAGCCTCAGGATCTACGGGATAGAAAGATGACTTAGGTAGCGCGTAACACAACTGGGGCAAAGCTAGAAACCAAGCTCATGCCTAAAACACTAGCGCTCAAAAGGCTAAGTGCACACTCACACATGGGTGCATGCGTATACCACACACACACGCACACACATACAGCTAAAATTAAAAAACAAAGGCAAAACAAAGCAAACAAACAAAAACCTTCCCCCTTGGGGACATTTCCCATGGGTGTGCAAATTCAATAAAACATGTCTTTTTTTTTTTTTTTTTACACCTTCTGGTGTCTTTTCACTTAAACCATGAGTGGCGTATGACATAGTGTGGTTATTATGACTGTCATCATGTCTGTTACTTTAAGGGGATCTTCAACAACTTTACGACTCCCTCGCCTACAGGACTTTATAATTTGCTTTTGGTGAAGTCTTGATGATTAATAGGTATGTTTTTGTTCCCAGGACAAGCACTTCAGCACCTCTCCCCAAACAGACCTAAAATCAGGGATCTCCCCTTTACTCGGAACAGCCTTGCGCCTCTGCCGGACCAAAAATGTAAGTACTGGAGCCCCTCCGCAGCTCTCCCCAAAGCTGTATCACGTCTCAGGTGGTTCACTTTCTTTTTATTTTTCCAAAGATTATCAGGTGCCAATACTTGTGCACAGAAAATCCCTAAAGGGACCTTGAAGTTGGTAAATAAATAAATGGAAAATAATCTCCCCCTTTCAGGGAATTTTGTTTTAAGTACAAACACAATAGCAGGAGTTTATTTGGCTGTGTATTATTTAATGTACTTTAAATTTAAGATAAAATATCCAATAAAAAAAAGAATGTACTTTAAGCTGGATGTGTCCAGCACTCAGGAGGATGAGAAGTTCACGTCCAGTCTTGGATGTCTAGTGATGGGATTTGAGGGCTGCCTGTGCTACATGAAACAAGTCTCAAAAAGGGGATGGGGTAGGGGCAGGACTCTAAAGATGATTGATTCCCTTACTGTGTAGATCCAGCCCAAACATTCCTAAGCCAAAAGGAAGTATTTGATTTGTTTGGTTTGGTTTAGTTCTATTTTGTTTGAGACATGGTCTCACTGTCCTGCCAGTCCAATTTGACCTTAAATTCTCAATTCTCCTGCCTCAGCCTCCCAAAATGTAGAATTATCTGCCTATCCAGCATCCATGGTTCTTCTGCTCTCTTTAGTTAGCTTTATTTATTTATGCCACAATATTTTATGTAAAACTCACATAACATAAAACATGCTCTCTTAGACCAGAAACCTTCAAACTGAATGAGCCCAAATATCACCTGCTATGTTTATTTCAGGGGCCCCAGATGCCTAGAAATTATGAGTTCATATATCCTTACATCCATATTAGGAGGTAGGTTTTATCACTATTTCCACTACACAGGCAGGAAAACGAAGTTCAGAAAGGACTTTTCCAGCATCACTTAGGTAGCATATAGAACAACCAGGAGCAAAGTCAGAGGCTATGCATGGTGCCTTATGCTTGTAGTCAAAAGGCTGAAGCAAGCAGACAGAGATGTGAGGCCAACCTATGCTACATAGCTAGTTTAAGTACAGCCTGGGCTGTATAGATACTGTCTAACAAACGGAAAAAAAAAATCTAAAGGATAGAAAATCAGCTGCCTCATGAAACAAGCAACATTTACTAGATGACAATTTAGTTTCTTTGTACACAATTCTACCCTGTTTAGTACACACACACACATGCGCACGCATACACAGATGCACACACACATGCACACACACATGCACACACACATGCACACGTACACGCACACACAGCCTCTGCATTCAGCTACGAGTTAGATCATTCTGGAACTGGCCTATCAATTTCAGACAAGCTCCTAACCCTTTCCCCTGTGTGGCTGCACAAATAACATCAGCACGATGAGACCGTCAAGGGATTAAAGGAGACGACATACTTACACACCTAAGACGCTTGGCGTGCTTGTTTACATGGAGTCACTAGGCAAGATGCCCTTTCTACCCCAGGCTAGACTTTGAATGGGGCCAACCAAGAGTTCAAGAATTCTATACATCAAACCAGTGAGCTATGGGGACGTGCTGGGTCATTTTTCATAGTATGGTAAACTCAGGGCTGGAGCCATTTGTCCAGAGAAGGAGTTAGAAATGGGAAGCCAGGATTCCCCCCTGGGCAGACTGACCCCCTGCCTTACTGACTTGTACACAGTGAGGGTTCTGAGTAGTGATGATTTTTCTCATTGGGGGAAATTCAAGCCAGTGTTCTCCTTAAATTGACTTGGACTTGAATGTGGCCTGGAGAAGCCAGAGAGGTTTACACAGTTAAATTCCAGGAGACAAGACAAAGATACCTAATCGATTCGGCTGAGTGGAGAAGAAATAGAGCAAGACGAGCTCTTCCCAAAAGAAACCTGAGAGCCTTTGGAGGTTTGCATGAAAGCAAACGTCTCTGGGCTTGTTCAGAGCCATGTGCTAACTTGATCATCCACAGCTGCTCCACCCCAGAGAACTGCTCTGGCTGGCTCACACAGCCAGAGCAGGTTGAATCAAAGCTTGCAATCTTGTATTTGTGCATTTTTCAAATCCCTGACGTTGACATGTTGACGATTAGATATGAACACACAGCTTTTCTCCTTAGTCCAGCTCCCACCAACACAAGCTTCTTAGAATGTGCTTCCGCTCCTTGAGAAATCACAGAGTTCTCCTGAACCATCCCATAGGAGCCTCTGGGAGAAGCAAATCTCAAAATGTCTCCCATTCTCTCCCCTCCCCCTTCTCCAATCCAGTTCTATCTGGAGAACCCCTGAGAATGAACCGGGTGCTTCCAGCGATTCCAAGCCAGAGGGGACATAACCCACCAGCTGAAGAGAGCGAGCGGCCCCCCAGCCCCACCCAAGATGAAAACTAACTGCAGGTCGCTCTCTGGAAATATAGAAGATATATATTTTTCAACTTTCCAAGGGTGAGATTACTCTAGTTTATATGAGCAAAGTCTTAATTTAGTAAGCTACGTTCTACAAGCCATTCACAGTTTTCTAATTCAAGGTTCCTTATTCAATTAAATACAATTAAATTCAAATAAATACACTTCCTAAATACTCACTTAGAATCTTCAGACGTGCAAACATCACCAAGTCTATGAGTTTCTGTGATCCCCTACACACTGTAATTCAGAAACAAAATACACTCCTGGAGGAGGATTTAGGTATGTTTCATTTATGTTGTGCTATGTTTGCTCTTTGGTCTGGTTCTTTTTTTTTCTTATTTGGTGATTTTATGTATTTTTTTTTTAATGTATGCTTTGCTGAATAAAAAAAAATGAAGAAAAGCAAATCTTAAGACTTGTTTTTTGAATTTATTTCCTTTCTATCTTGCTCTGATAAAGCGTAATTAAAATACAGTCCTAAATTCCTATGTCAGTCACAGTGTATGACTTTGAAATGCTCAAGCATCTGCATAATATTTTCTGATATTGTCAGCTCCTGGCTAAAACCCAAATCGCTTGGCAGTGTTTACGTCTCTTCTTTGTTATTTAATTATCTCCACCTTCTGTTGTTTTCAGAACATCTGATGGCCCCAGTAATAAGAAGGGTCATGGGAGCTGGCAGGGTGTACTTCCTGGTCTGGAAGGGTCATGGGAGCTGGCAGGCTATATGCCTGGTCTGATAGAATTTCTCACCCTTTCCTCCAATATTCTCCTATTCTACATGTTAAGTATTCTCTTCTTTGGTGTTTCAAAGTAATGCTTTCTGCCTTCAAGGCCTTCTCAAATTTGAGATTTAGCAGAGTTCTGGGAGATGCTCTCCTTCACTGAGAAGATGGCATGCTATTTAGACTGACGTTGGCTGGCAGCCTTGCCTCCAGTCACATAAGGTGACACTCTGTGTTACCTCCAGGTCTGCAGGTTTTGGAAATGTGTCAACTATAACATTTACTATTTTATATTAGGGTTATTCTTTAGTTGGAATAGACATGATATAGAACCTTCTTCTCATGGTATGTTCCAGGACACAGTGAAGAGACTCAAACAATTTATTTTCCAGAAGGGAGTAGAGTTGTAGAGAGGGAAGTGTTGAGAGCAATCATTGTAAGGAGTGGTCAGAATCCCATCCTGCCCACGCCAGTTGTACTTGAGGCTGTGAAAAGCACGTGTTTAGCCTTCTACCCTGATCAGAGCTGAGGAAAAGCCAATCCCACAATACCCAGAGGAACTCTTAAGGTGCAGCTTCTGAAGGGTCTTGTTTTTGTGTTGTTTTGTTTGGGGGAGGTATTTTTGTCTCTAAAGCATCAGATTGTTAGACTGTTCAGTGTTTCCCTAGGCTACCTTAGAATTCGTTTTCACCCACTAGTAAATGCCTTGCCCTAGACCAACCAGGTTAGGCAAGTTCTGCTTCAGTAGTAAGCATCCCCCAAATCCCTTTGGTCAATGTGGCCCTCAGTCACAATACACGTCCCACACCTGCTCCCAGAAGAGACTCATGTACAGTATAGATTCCATCTCAACCTGGTTTCTGTGGTGATCAAAGCAGAGGAAATGAACTGTGAGTTATCATTTCCTCTCACGTTTACTTCACCAAATCAAGTTGTGTAAATGTCACTCATTTTAAGTAAGGATAAGTACAGAAATTCAATCTCTTTGTGTTTTCAGAAAAGAGGGAACTGCAATCTTTATAAATGATCATAACAATGACCACACTAACCAAAACAGAGAGGGCCCCTGATTGAGTAGATAGATGAAAACATATTTTTAAACACAGTCAGCTATCGATAAAGCCACCATCCCCTAACACCTGAGTTGACATGGGTGTACATATAAAGACTTTTCCAATGTTGGGCCTTTCAGTTCAGTTTGGCATGGGGATTTTTGCTAGCCATGAAGATGCAATCTTCAAAGAGAGCACCCGTCCTTCTGCCTTGAGGTAAAGTTGCTAATGGCACAAACTGATGATTGGCAACTATTTAGCTGACCAAAGCAGACCTTCAAGCACTATAGTTTACGTTTTACATGCTTTTCAAAGGACTGTGTGTTAAAGGCTTCCTCTCAGGCGTGGTGCTGTTGGCAACTGGTAGCATCTAAAAGGAATGAGGCTTAACAGAAAGTCTTCTGGCCATTGGGGACCTTGAAGGGAACTCTGGGACCCTCGCTGTGCCTTCTTCTCCTTCTTTGTATTTACCCAGCCTGGACATGCACTCCTTGGCATGGTGTGCTGCCTCCTATGGACCAAAGAGTCATGAGGGTGACTGACCAGGAACCACAAGTGAAAACAAGACTTTCCTCTTAGAGCTGAGTACTCATGAATGTCAATACAGTCATGGAAAGCTCACCAACACACTAAGGTTTCAAGTAGGGGTGAGGGAGGTTGGCGTTAAATGCAGGAGCAGAGTGCCTGCCTTTGGCACATGAAGCAGCATATTCAATCCTCAGCACTACAGGGGGAAGATCACCAATTAGTGCCTTTCAAAGTTTCAAAGAATCTCATCTTTTAAATTGAGTTATTTGTTGGTTTAGCTCATACACCTCCCTTCAGTACTAGGCCTGTATCATTTGTTTATACATGTAAACAAATTCTTTCATTTGATTTTCTCTATGAACACGTAAGATTGGCCCAGTCATTCTCCATCTCCCTCTTACAAATAATTTGAGGCCGAAAAAGAAGTTAAGTAACTTGCTCCAAATCACATAGCAGAGTCAGGCTTAGCAAGTAGGTTTCGTTTCTTTCATGGCCCATATTCAGAATGCCCAAACTATCGTTTTCCTGGTCCACAAACCCATTTTCATTTCATAGTGCAGTATGTCCTTCCTGATTTTTATGCAATCTGTCTATCTAATAGGCAAAGTAGAGCTACTGTCACTATTTCAGGAAGTCACAGCAACCCAGGACTTTGTGTTAAACCATCAGGGCCGGGTGGGGGCGGGGGTGGAGTCATAACTATTTATTTTCTCCGTATTTCTTAGTTCCCTGTGGAAATCACCTGGCTTAACAGTGGTGTCATTTCTCCCAGCAAATACGCAACTCCATTGTTCTCATCTTCTTGGAATGAAGCCAGTATAAATAGATCTGTGTGGCTCCAGATTATTTATTTCAACTCTACCAAAACACAGCTTGACACTCAGTGTGACTTCAGAAAAGCTCACTAAGTGACAGATTAGAAATGCCATGCCTTCCAGGAAGACAAACATAGTCATTAATTTTCCTTTGGCCTCTATTCTTTGAAATTAACCCATGCTTGTCTCGCAGCAAATACTTCCTGGCACTTTGAAGATGGTCTTGAAAACAACTCTTAGAACTCCTTGACAACAACTCCTTGGAGACAGAGTTGGAGTGGAGTAACCAAGCATCATATGTGACCTTAGCATAAAATATGATTCCCAAGTGAACAGAATTTTAAAAAGAACATGATAACAACACTTGCATATAGAGAACTATTCTCTTAGTGTATTCAAGGAAAAGTCACACTTAAAATCAAGTAACTAAGTAAGAATTGTATATTTCCTAGACATTAACATGGGAATGTTAGTTACTACTGATAGGTGAGGACTGTCGGAAAACTTTGTTTGTAGTTTAGTGGTAGAGGGTTGGCCTAATGAATGAGAAGAGGACATATCAACTCAAAGGCATGATTGAAGAGATGGTTTTAAGTGTGGAACTGAAAGAAAGAACAACCAGAGGCGTCTGGAAAAGTTTAGAGCAGGGAAAGGAAGGAGTGGACTGATCATGACCAGTAGACTGAACTGGGATAGGGGAAGAGGCAGAGCAAGATAGGACTAAGAGAGGGGGCAAGAGAGCCAAGAAGAAAGAGAAAGGGGAAGAGAGGGAGAGAGAGGAAGAGGGAGGAAGAGAAGAAGGGAGGAAAGGGAGAGGGAAAAAGAGAAGGAAGAAGGGAGGGAGGAGAGAGAGAGAGAGAGAGAGAGAGAGAGAGAGAGAGAGAGAAACAAGGGAAACAGAAAAAAAAAACCAAGAGTACAAGAGGTCTTATGGCTGAAATAGGAAAGTAATATAGGAATCAGAAGCTGGGAAAGGGAAACAAAGCCCCCATGGACTGGCTTCGGGGTGAGCTGAGAAGACCTGAAAGGATCCACAGGCACTGAGTGGGCTTGGAGGCCTGTTTGCATTATCATTAGACATTTGTTCCACCTTTTGTTTGGACCTAACACCTTGCATGTACAAGGCTCTGGGTTAGATTCCTAGTGCATACACACACACACACACACACACACACACACACACACACACACCTATATCCTCTCAAAGGTCTTCCATCTTGACCTTATTCAAGTCTAACTTCTGTTTTCTTGGGTAATTTACCAGGTTCCAGAACATCTTCAGAAGTCAAATCTGGGAACTTAGTTGAGTAAATTGTATGAAAAGCTAGAGAATTTCCAGTCAGTAGGTCATAACACACACAGCTGTAACTAGGACTACAAAAGTAGTTTTCACACAGATGTATGAAAAACAGGAAATGAGTTGCTCATCATTTAATCTCTAGTCTGAAGTATTATTAATGGTGAAATACTTTTCAGTTGGTAGCAGTCTACAGGCTACAAGAAAGCCATCCAATCAGCTCAGGAGGATGAGGTAGAATGGGTTGATATTGAAGGGAGGGAGCTGAAGACTGAGTTTACCTATAAGCTAGGAAGGCAGACGCTGGGCAGAGTAATTGTAATTGACCCCACATGAACGGTGGACGCAGGTTTGGTGGATAACCAACACACTTGGTGCACTGACAGTGAACCACCTGAGTCCAAAGAGTGAATGTGTAACCAGAGTTTCAGGGCAAAAGCCTGGGGTTCCGTGGCAGCAACAAGCAAGGTTTGGCCACCCATTCTGATGTGTCAGTTAAAGACACAAGTAACGGTGGGGAACAAAGAAGGGGATGGAGATAAAAGGGTTCAGAGATTCCCCAAATCCATCTTCAGGATACTCTCATGAGCACTGGGTTCAAATAGAGAAAGGACTGTGGGAAGTGCAAGATGAATGGACAGCTAAACAATCTATTCAAAGTGAGGTCTCCTTGGGCATTGTCTCAAATCAGATCCTGCAAGGTGGCTCTAAAAAGAACAGCTATATTGCTTGAGG